GTGCGAATCCATTCGAACATTCAAGACTGCCATTTATAACTTTTATTCATCTAAGTGTTTGGACTATTGTCCTCCTTAGTATAGTATTACTTACTCGCTTATTTATTTATTTGATTTTATAATTGTTGTTTCTCCGATATTTTTGGAGTTTTATGTAAAGGGGTTATGTTGCAATTGGGACGCAAGTCCTGTTCAAACTCCTGTCATATACTTATAATTAATGATATTATATGTAATATATGGCAAATTCATTAAACTAAACTAAACTAAACTCCTGCTATTTATTACGTAATTGCTGACGATTTTGGCAATCTTATTACACTATCAAAGTTAGTTTCAAAGTTTCTGTGATCACAGTTTGAACTTTGGATGGGTTCATTCTGGGAAATGACATATTGTAACAGTGTTCCCTCTACTGTGGTCACAAACTTTGATACCAGGCTTTATAGCCTCATATTGGATTATTGTCATTGAGTGACGCGATTGTTCAAAAAAGACATGTATAGTACAAATTTGATTTCACGTTGATTTACACGTCATTAAAATGGAAAACAATCAGCGACCGGCTACACTGAAAATTTCAAGGGCTTGAATGGACTCCAAAAGTGTTATGTTGACACCATTTTTGGTGACGGAATATTAACACTTTTGCAGTCGATTCATTCCTTCAAATTTACAGCATATATTGTTCTATTTTGCATCCGATTCATTGGGCAAGGCCAGTTACGTGTTTTGTAGTCGAGCCACGAGCAAAACAACATGTTTAATTAAGTTATAACAAGGAAATTTATTGCACTATAGGAAGGAACAAATAGATAAAAATCAACTGACGTCAAAGCTTAACGAATGCAGGAATTAAGGATTAACGAGAAATCCTATGTTCCTTATATGTGCAATCATATTTGTGCATGTTAAATTCAAACGGCAAAGACAGTGCGATGTTTATTGAATGTATGTTCCTTGTCTGTGCTGATCAAACTTGTAAATATGAATGTTAAATTCAAAAGGCCAAGACATCACACTGCGATGTTTACTGAATGCATATTCCTTGTCTGTGCTGAAACAAACTTGTAGATATGAATGTTAACTGATTCAAAAAGCGAAGACATCACACTGCGATGTTTCCTGAATGCATTCAATTTTAGTTCCTTTTTGTAATTGCAAAATTCAACAATCGGTTCACTGCTGAGTATATCACTCGAAACCACATCGAAACAATGGACCAAGCCCATGATTTTTTGCCCATACGTGCAGTAATTGATTTTTCATGTCCGTAATAAATCACCATCCGAACATGCGCGTCTCCGGAATGAGAAACAAGCTGCACGACTATAATCTCGCATTGTGGATTCTGTACATTTCAATGACTCAGCATTAAAATACGTGCAGAGTTTTTAGGTAGTTTCGACACAACCATGACGACTGCTTATTGTAGAATACTACGTACGTGCACTATTATAGCTGGAACCCCCACGCGCGGCCACGCCGGTTTAAGATGTCGTTTCAGATACGTAGTTCAGACACAAGCCACGACAGCTCATTGTAGAGTGTGCTACCCTCACTGGACCCGCACGTCTGAGATATCTTTTCAGGTAGTTCAGCCACAAACCGCGACAACAGCAGACAGCTTACTGTATAACAATACTCTAGAATTTGGAGACACCTGCACGGCTTAGTGCTGTTTGGAGTCGAAATGAACGTGTCGGTCTAAACTCTGACGGTATTTTTGCCTCGTTTCAAAAAGCACACGGCAAGGGTGACTTATTTGCGGACGGCGGTATACCGGTCTCCGAGCTCTCCGCTTCCAAGCTCGACGCGGGGTAGATAGGATTTCCTGAGGAATATTGTTCACTTATCCAAACAGTGATTTTCATATAACCTGACTCTTTCTTTCATTTTTTTTTGTCGGCATGGAATATCATCCTCATATTTAAAAGACCTTAAAAAGCTTAAACAGTTAAAGTCGAACAAACATGGAATTCGTGCAAATTATGGGTTTAGAACGTTGTACACAACTGATCGATTCAACATACGAAATGATAATTAGCTGGATAGTTTACTTCATTGCTAGCCTAAGGAGTTTAAGGGGATTTTCATATGAGTCGGGCTAGCCAAGAATCAAGATGGATCGTGTCACGAAAATTTTTAGAATTTCTCCTGACCATAAGAGATCGTTTGAATGAACTTGATGCTGTCATTGCAATCAAACTAAACTAATTCAACTTTGAAATGTCATTTTGAATGCTTATCAAAGCTGTGATAAGAGTTTTCGGCGTTAAACGATTCATCACATGCAGTTAACCGGGTCAGGCCGGCTCCATGTGAACGGCCACTAACATTATAAGTTAAGAGTTAAGCTAGGATATATATGGGTTAAAATTTGATTTGGGATTACAGTTAGTACTAGATTTACGGTTGGAATTTGGATTTAGTAGAGTTTAAGAGCAACAATTCTCTTCAGTATTTTTGCACAAGTGAACATAACGGATCCCTCAAGTTGATTGGTCAAATCGCCTCAAACCTACGCCACAGGTGAATATAACAAAACCCCGATGATCACCTCGCCTTCGGCGAATAATTGTTAAATATTTATTTAAAAATTGGAGATAATGAAATTTAACCGAATGACATTCTTCTTTCATTCCAATTTTAAATCTTTATATTAACTTGAACTATATACGCACATTCGTTTCAGAAATATAGAGAATATACGCATTCAAATATTTAGCCTACACAAGTTATAAGTCAGATAATAAACAAATAAAACAAGTCATAAGTCAGATTTAACTCCTAATTCAATAAAACACTGATACTAACTTGGTTGCAGGTTTAAAGTATATCAAAAATACAGCATTTTCTCTTCCCAATTACTTCATATACGAGTGTTATAGTCTCCTGTTTATCAAATCCACTTTAGTTCAAGATTTATTATGCTTATAGAGCAAGTCGTCGGTCTAGCCTCGCCGAAGGCCCAAAAATGCAACACTTCTCAAAGGTGTGAACTTTCATAAATGGTTGTGTCCAGATATTTTGGCAAATCTTATAGCCAAACTGCCAATATTTGTACGTATACACTTTCTGTCTGACGTCAATGAAGGTC